GGGCCCGCCGCAAAAAAAAAAAAAAAAAAAAAAAAAACACAACAAAAAACAAAAACAACAAAACACCTGAAGACAAAATTAATGTGTAACAACCTATGTCACTTGTAAGTTGAGCTTACTATTAAACTTTCAAAGCTTAAAATTCTTACACATATTTTAGATGAAGAAACTGAGATTCAAAGTTACAAAATAAATCAGACGACTATTTAGTGAGAGTGTCTCTGCCCTAGATATTTCAGTGTTCTTTTTAATTTGCCAGTCTGCTTTACCAAAGAAGTTTTTCTTTTATTTTCGTTTTTTCTGTAATAACTTTACAGGTTTCCCAGAAAAAAGTATGTATCTTCATTATCAAGGGCTCAAAGCTAGTGATAACCCCATTAGTTTAGCACTGTTTTTCCTAGCTTGGATTTTACAAATTATGTGTTGAAGAAAACCTTTCAAGACATTTATGCATTTAAGAAAAAAGTCTATCTAATCTTGGATAAGGATTTCATTCATTCAATTCACCACCTCATTCATTCAACAGCACTTATCTAATGCCTACTATGTGTGGAGGATAAAGCAGTTAACAAAACAGATGTAGTCCCTGCTCTCATGAAGCTTATATTTTTAGTTGGGTGAAGGGAGACAGACAAACAATAAACAAAAATAATGATAAACTATGAATGCTATTAAAAAAGAGGGTCATGTTGTCCCTAAAAATTCCTCCCATTTTTTTAAGAGAATAAATGGGAAGGAAAGCTGTTTTAGATAGGGTGGCCAGGTAAAGCTTGTCAAAGATATATTTGATTCCTCATCCTATAGGATGAGAATGAGTCAGCCATATGAAAGACAAAGATAAATTACATCCAAGGCAGAAAAAAAAAAATAGCAAATGCAAGGTCTCTGAGATGGAATATTGGTTAAGGTTAAGTTTAGTTGTGAACAAGAGACCTAAAACAGTGGCTTTATTAAGACAGCATTTCACTTTTTTTTCACATCAAAATCTGAAGGTAAGGAGTACAGGTTGGTATGGTACTCTGATCCACAAAGTCGTCAAGAACCCAGGTTTCCACCAGCTTAATGTTTTGCTTTCCCTAGGATGAGGGAACTTGCATATGGCCCAAATTGGCAGCTAGAGTTCCAGGCCATCACACGTGCATTCCAGGGTACAGAACAGAAGTGTAAATGAAGCAAAGGACTGAAGGTGTGCACCAGCTTTCTTTTAAAGATGGTTCTGGAAGGGTGCCACATGATATATCTGCTTACATCCCACCAGCCAGCACTATCACATGGCTACAATGAAGGCTGGAAAATACAGTCTTTATTCCGGACAGCCAGGTGTTCATGTCTATTCCTATGAAAAAATGGGAGGAATTTTTAGGGACAACTAATATTCTCTGCTACAGACTGGAAAGAGCTTGGTACATAACAGAAACAGGAGGCAATGAGAAGGGAGAGAACAAGATGAAGTTCAAGGGGTAGACAAAGCTGGATAATGCAGTCTTGAAGGCCATGGGAAAGAATTTAAATTTGATTCTGTGTGCATAGAGAAACTATCAGAGAGTTTTAAACAAGGGAGTGACAAAACCTAATGAAGTTTTAAAAATGATTGTTATGGCTGGTATATACAGAATGGTTTGAAGAGGGAAATTTTCATGACAGTGCAGGGAAAAGTGGATACAGATAACATGGATATTGCTGTGGTCCAGCAAAAGATGACAGTGGCTCACACAGAGTGGCAGCATTGGAGGTTATGAAAAGTGACTGAATTCAGAATATTTGTAAGAAAGAGTTGATAGTACCGGCTGATAGTTGGATGTAGAATGTTAGGAATCACAGGAGACTCCTAGTTTAATGCCCAAGCAAGTAGGTGAATGGTGGTGCTATTTATGGAAATCAGGAAGAGCTGGAGAGGAGCAGGTTTAGAGAAGGGACAAAGATGATTCAAATGTTTTGTTTTAGACAGGTTAAATTTGAGATGACTATCTCTTGCCAAGGCAAAATTTTCAGCATTGTTCACACCTTTTTAAAAACTGGAGGCCTCCCTCTTCTATAGGTTATATACAAACTCATTTTTCCCGTAATAAGGTACTTTTCTCAACCTAAGTAATTTTTCTATAATATGCACAAGGATTTAACCTTAAAACATGTCAAAAACACACAAAACAGATGCCCATTTGTATGGTCTGTTTTTCCAGCTAAAATAAGAAAATCTATCAAAGTGGATAGTAAACACAACAAAGAAAAAAAGTACCAAATAGGCAAATTTCATCAATATTAGCAATGAAGATGAACTTTTTGATGCAATAGGGCAATTCAAATATAGCATTTATTAAAAATGTACCATTTATTGAGTGCTTACTAGAAAGCCATAAATAAGTGCTTAATAAATGCTAGTTCAATGAACCTCTAAAGTAGGTATTAAACAAATTTTACAAATTTATAACACATTTGGCACAACTAATAGGACAATTAAAAACTTGTTCTTCAACAAGGCTTAAAGTGAAAACAAACAGAGCTCTCAAGAAAGCAATATTATTTATTTTTCCCTAACACTCCTTCCCCACACATTTATTATGAAAATGTTTTTTGTTCTATCTCTTCCAGTAAAATACCCACAGTAATAAAACTCTCGAATCAGATCTGTCCCTTTTGGAAATGATTTTTCCAATTTGACCAATGTTTATGCTATTTAAAACCTGTGCTTCTTTGAGTAAACATAAGAATGGTAAGAATAAGGTCTATTTTTTGGCCTTAACAAAGTCCTTCATATAAGTCAAACTAACAGATTAGTATGGTAAGTAATACTTGATGTTAACATATACACATAAGTGTATCCTATTTTTATCATTCCATCTTATGGCTCCAAATTACCAATAGTCATACTTTCAAATTATTATTAGCTAGCTTGAGATTCTCAGCAATACATATTCATATGTACATGTATTCATATACATGTATTACATACACGTTAAGGCATATCCTGTCCTTTAACACAACATCTTATGGCAGTAGGATGTTAACGTGAGGAAGAGAACACAGAAGAGGGAGGAAGGAACTGTTGGTGGAAGGGGGGGAGAGAGGGAGAAAAAGACATTAAAAAAAAAATGTGTTGCTCCTCTTCGATTTTTCCTTAAGTAAAAAACACAACGAAGCACAATGTTTAATGAAATGAATAATCAGGCAAAACATTTTCTACTGCCTACACCAGCAGCATCCGGCGTTTAAAAAGATTCACACAGTATCTCCTTATCTGTCAAAGTATCTTATATTCAAAACAAAGTTACCTCTGTGGCAAAGTTACCTTTTATTTTATGGTATGCTTATTTATCTGGCTATTTCTTGCCTCTGGCCTTCAATGATAATTTTAAATTTTAAATTGAACTACAGTGAATTTTTTTGAAAGGAAAAGGTGATTTTATAAAAGAACCAAGGGAAGTAGAAATTTTATTTACTTCAAATTAATTGTACTTTAACAAATTCTATCACTCAAAAAGAATAACAATTTTTCTTATGAAACTACACTATTCCAAAACACACATGCAGAAGTGTGTGTCTGAACAACACTTTAAAGTTTAAAATGTTTAAAACAACATTTTAAGTTCAAAATGTTGAGTATTTACAAAAAGTGAAGCGTTTATGGATATACAAGGGAATAAAGAGAGATTACTGCAATGAAAACAAGTTAATTTCATTTTGGATGGCAACTATTTTTCTGGCAAGCAGCGACTTCACTCCTTTACGTTTCCATCAAAGCCACCATAATTTCAAACGGCCTTGCTGATGGCCTATCCGGTCACTCAGGCTTACGTGAGGACCGGGGAGAGGGAGCTAGCTAAAGTGCTATAAACCTAATTCGGCTAGATCGAGTTCACACAACACTGCTTTAAAAACCTGCTCATTATTACTTCCTTCCCCCAGGTAAAGAAAGGAAAAAAAAAAAAAAAAAAAAAGGAACGGGGAGGGTAAGCAGAAAACACCAGTAGTTTCAGCAGAGGGGAACTCACTTCTCAGGAGGTGACGGTGACCTGAGGCCGGTCCCTGGAAGTCCGTGCACAAGCACCGGAGGTTGCGGGGACTGAGGGAAGATAAGGGGGCAGCGGTCAGATGTCTCCAGGTGCAGGGAGTGAGTAAGGAAGAAGTGAGGAGGCGCACTAGCAGGGGCGGAGTGTCCGACACAAACACAAACACGCTCCGCGTCGGGGGTAGGGCGGACCCACGCCACCTCACCATTCCCCGCCCCTGGACCCTGCGGCCCCCCCTCAGACCCAGGGCGCAAGCCCTGTGCAAAGCATCGTGGCTTCAGTGAAACAGTAGCAGCCGCAGAGGCCCCGCTCACTGTAACGGCGCGGAAGAGCAACGAGACTCCTTGTGAATCGGTAGGAGACGCCGTGGAGTCGCGGAGAGGGCGGTGGAGAAGTGAAGCGAATCCTCTTCTCCTCTCACAAGCGCGCGGGAAGCGACCTACCCACCCCCATCCCTGCCCACCCGGCATTCGCCGCTCCCACCTTCCGCCGCCTCCTTGAGAGAAGCCGGAGCGACGGGGGTCACGGCGGGGGTCAGAGGGTAAAGGTCTTGCTCCCAGCAGCCTCCGCGGTGGATACGTCGCCATCTTGGATCCGCGGGACAAGAAAATTCATGCGGTGAGTTTTTGGCAAATTTTCGGAAGTCTGGCAGCGGGGCGCTCGGCGGGGGCGGCGGATTCGGGGCCCCCGCGAGGCGGGGGAATGCCTCGGGGCTAGCCCGGTCGCTCCCGGGGTCCGCGGGTAGCGTCCCAGCCCGCCGCTTCCCGTTGCTTTTGTCTCGGCTCCAATCGAGAGAGGGAGAGCGGAGCGGGAGGGGAGGGGGGTGGCGGCGGTGGAGGGAGGGAGGGGGTGTGTATGGGGGTGGTGGTGGACGGGACGTAAAGCGTCGCTGTACTCGGGCCGCTGTACTCGGGCCGCTGTAGCGGCAGCTCCAGATCCTAGGCCCGGCCGGGTTCCCAGACTCCGGTTCCCCAGGCTCCCACCAGCGCGGAGGAGCCGCTGCCGCCGCGCTGCTTCCTGGAGAAGAAGAGAAGGCGGCAGCCGCGGTGTCCGATGAGTCCGGGCCGCTTTACACGCCGCTGCCGCCTTCCTAGCAGCTGCCGCGTTCTCTAGCTCCTCACAGTCTCTCAGTACACGCACATCACTCGCTACTTGTTTGTGTTTTCTCTCTGTGTATGTGTGTAATTGTAAAATGGGGGACACTGGACTGGCTAACGGGCCTCAGGAGCCTCCAGGCCTTGGGATACCGAAGGCTATGCATGGTTGAGGGAGAAGGAGTGCAACTGTGATGCAGCTTTTGCCACCGCACCCGGAGGGTAAAGCTTCCGTGGTGTCGTACAGACTGAGTCCGGATGGTCCTGGGGCGGCGGAGGAACAGACACTTCTGTCTCAAGTTGTGAGTCGTAGGTTTCAGCTTCCGCCGGAGCCTCTTCACCTTTGCTGTCTTAGGTCTAACTTAGAAGTTTAATGGAAGAAATGAATAGGATTAAAAGAGGCTCTTGTAGTTCTTAATTGACGCTTTCCATCCAGGAGAAAGCATCTAACTCTTGGTAACTGGCCCTCAGCGAAAGCATATGGTAGTTTTCCTTTATAAAAGCATTTCCAGGGTTTGAGAATTTGCATTTATTTCAGGTGGGTACGGTATTACCACCACAAAAGCCTTACATACCGCTACCAGCGTCTCGGAAGGAACCTAAACATCAACTTCCTTTGAATCTAAGAGACATCTTCACTTTTCAACATCCGGAAGACCAGTGCAACATATTTTGTTTCATTTTCATAAAACTCTTGGTCAAAGAATCTTACTCTTCTTAATCATCTGAACAGTTCGTAATTAAGTACACTAATGTGAACCCTTAGGTTCTTGGCGAAGTGTTAGAACAGAGTTAAAATCTTATCACAAGAGAGGCCCTACTTGAGTTTGGTGTTCAAAATTGAACACATTTCCTATCATTCTTGATATTAAGAATTTTTAGAGCTCAGGAATCACAAGTGCCACTCTTGATTTGCCTTTTGAAACAACGTAAGTAGAGATGATAAAGTATGTTTGGTGAGGCGTCGGATAGAAATTTGAAAGTATCTATTTACGTACCAGGTTTATGTTGAGTTTGGGAACTCTTGGTATATTTGACAACAGTTCTTTCCCAAGCATCAGTGAATGCATCTCTTCTAATTTTGGAAGATAACTTTATGTCAGGTTTAAAGGGTTGACTAAGAATCACAGTGGACTGATATGATTAAATGTTCACATTCAGATCTCGTTTCATTGACGTGTTTCTTAATGGACCAAGATCATTGATAAGCTCTGTATGTTGAGCTCCTCTTTAGTTTGTAGTTCTTTTGCAATATGAAATCTAAAGGAAAAGAAATACAAAATACACTTTAAAAAGACAAAACTTCTTCCACTCCATCCACTTCTTTCTTGACTTTGTAAGATCCTCTTTTAATTTTCAAAGGTGCTTTCATCCATTTTTCTGCAGGCTTGAATTGTAGTGATTTCTGTGAATACTTTGTATGTTAGACAGGAAGTGAGAAACTGTATTTCACATTTTTCACATCCTGATTAATGCCTCATCAATACAAAAAATGTTACTGTAAACATCATTTGTTGGCATAGTCCTTTTGTTCTAAGTATACAGTATAGAAACATCTGTAACCTAATCTGATCTTGGGGAATGAGAATGGCCTGTTTGTTTAAACAAGCAACATATACAGCCTTTAGAAATTTTCAGTTTCTGTAATACTTTAGTTGAAAGTAAGTTTATATGGTGGGAAAGTGAGGGCAAAATGTATGTGTGAGTGATTTATATCCCCTTCGTTGGAGAGGTACCTGATCTCGAAGATAAAATAAAACTTGGAATGATATACCTGCGTAAAAGAACTAATTACCTTTGTTTTTACTTTATAACTTTGGATGTTTAACTTTTTGATTTTTTCAAGATGCTGTACAGTTATTTATAACCTGAAAATTCTCTTTTTTTCTAAAGTAAATACTTCACATTTATGAGTAGATTAGATGTGTTCTAACCCAGTTCTGGTTTTTATCTCTTTAGTTGATATTTGCTATAAAAAGTACTTGATTTTGAAAGACTGTAACAGAATTTTTCACAACCCTTAGGAAGTTATATTTTTCCTTTATTAGTGACAAATTCCCTTCCTAAGATTTTCTAATAATACAGAAAAATGAAGACAATATATGCTTCACATGTATATGTGAAATGATGAGTAGACATAAGTAGATTAGTAAAAAGAACTTAATTTACAGGTTTTTTTTGCTCTTTAAAAGCAATGTTCAGTGATAATATTTTTTAATTGTCTTTAAATTTTTAACTGTAGAAAGTTCATCCCATTATCACATATTTAAAAGGAAACTCAAACAGTCGTATGTGTTTGCTTGAATAGGCATTTGAGGATAACATGCAAATAGTGATACAGTCTTAGAAAAAGATACTACTAAATATTTATGATTTTCTTTGTTACCTGGACCTCTGGTAGATTTTGTAACACAAAAGAAGCAAAAGAAACCAAGGTACCAACCAGGTAGAGCAGTTTTAGAGTTAAAACTGAGTTGTACTGTTATGTTTGAATGGAATTACATACAGTATTGATCAAGAGATCTAGTGCTTTGCTAGGAGTCATTCTGGTTGATGGTACGTGTGTGACTGTTTTTCCTTAAAGATAATTTCTACCTGTGATACTTAAAGGAATTGAATTTCATTGTGACTTATACTCGATACTTGGAAAAGAGCTGTACTAAAATTGATGTAGAAAGTTTGCCTTTGAAAAGAAACAGAGTGAAAATTGGGGTTTTAAGTTTTTAAAATTATTTTATAGTTTTTACTTTGATTCTATTTATTGAACTCTTCTTAAATTTAAATATATGTTTCTTCTTGTTTCTTTAGTTTTTCTGTTTGGCATCCTTTGATTTCTATTTTAAAATTCAACCCTATGACAAATCATGCTGATATGGCTTGTTCATTTATTTACTTTATCTATACTATTAGGGATGACCTGGAAATAAAATTCTTACTATGTGTTCTGACAGCTTGTTCTCTGAAATACAGATGCAAATCTCTTGTTGGGGATATACTGCATTATGAAGTAATAAAATGGTTTAAAGTGTTTATATTTTGGTAAGAGCTCATGGCTTATATAAGGGGACATCACAAAGTTCATGGGAAAATAGAATTGGAAGATAATATGCATCTTTTCATGAACTTTTTGAAGACCCCTTGTGTAATAAGGAAGTGCAAAAGTGAATTACCAAGAAAAAAATGGGAAAATTTCCTTTTCTGGATACTTTAATATTTTTTATATGCTTAGACTCAGGATCTAAGTCCTTTTAGGTATAGTTAGATATTTTGGACATATTTTCCATTTACCCTGCAAGTTTTTCTTTTCTTTTTCTTTTCATTTATGTGTATGTTTTTTTTGTGTGTGTGGGGGGGGGTATTTTCACTGTCTATTACTTCTCTGTTGCCTGGTAAACTACTACTACTTCAGAACTCTTCTCTAGTGTCACTTTGTTCATGAAACCTTTCCTGACTCCCCAAATCTTTCTGCTTTATTGCTTTTTATTCTTCAAACTTCTATTATTGAATGTGTTACGTTGTGTTGTAATTTACTGTCCCTTTTTACGTACTTNAAAGTGAATTACCAAGAACAAAATGGGAAAATTTCCTTTTCTGGATACTTTAATATTTTTTATATGCTTAGACTCAGGATCTAAGTCCTTTTAGGTATAGTTAGATATTTTGGACATATTTTCCATTTACCCTGCAAGTTTTTCTTTTCTTTTTCTTTTCATTTATGTGTATGTTTTTTTGTGTGTGTGTGGGGGGGGGTATTTTCACTGTCTATTACTTCTCTGTTGCCTGGTAAACTACTACTACTTCAGAACTCTTCTCTAGTGTCACTTTGTTCATGAAACCTTTCCTGACTCCCCAAATCTTTCTGCTTTATTGCTTTTTATTCTTCAAACTTCTATTATTGAATGTGTTACGTTGTGTTGTAATTTACTGTCCCTTTTTACGTACTTTTACCATAATCTCCTCTGGACTGTGAGCACCAGAGATGTAGGGCTTTATCTTGTTTATATTTACATTTCTAGTGGCTTCTGTAGTGCATAGTACAGTACTTAGTAGGCTCTCAATAAATATGCATTAAACTAAACTGTTGCCAGATTGACATTTGACACAGCTGACATATGCTTTGACTCCCCAAATCTTTCTGCTTTATTGCTTTTTATTCTTCAAACTTCTATTATTGAATGTGTTACGTTGTGTTGTAATTTACTGTCCCTTTTTACGTACTTGTACCATAATCTCCTCTGGACTGTGAGCACCAGAGAGGTAGGGCTTTATCTTGTTTATATTTACATTTCTAGTGGCTTCTGTAGTGCATAGTACAGTACTTAGTAGGCCCTCAATAAATATGCATTAAACTAAACTGTTGCCAGATTGACATTTGACACAGCTGACATATGCTGTTTCTCAATTCACAGATCAGAAGCAACAAATTGGAAAAAGTGGGGAGAAGAGCATTCTGTATCCCTTCCTTTCTTGAATCCTTTTTTTATAGTTTTGCTTCTTAATTACTGTGAGAAAATAGGTAACTAG